AACCGGTGTGCCATCCACCCGCCTTGCGCCACCCGAGGCCTGAAATCCTCTCCGGGGCCGTCCCTGAATTGCGCAATAAGGGCCTCCGCCTGACGTCATTCGGAGGGAACAAAAGGATGATCGGCGCGGTAATGACCTCTTTCGTTCGGAACTTGACGTATGCAGCTATTCTTGGCGCCCGTGCGTGGTTTCCGTATATAGCTATTTTTTTCGCTCTCCAGAGGTTGACGGCGAAGCTGATTTTTGATTGATTCTCCGGTTTTATATTTGAGATTTTCCAGCGATAAAGGCACATATTTTCTCTTTGTAACTCTCATCACTGTGGGATATTATTTTGCCGTTTGTTTTTTTAAAAAAGAATAAATAAATTAAAAAAAGGACTACCAATAAAGGAAATGATCCTATTTGAAGTTTGAGTTTTGCATTACGTTTGATGTAGCGCAAAGTCTTTCATTCTTCAATATCGTGTATACATATACGTAGATAAGTCTATATTTTTGTTTCGATACAAGCACTGTAACAAACTACAGACACAAGAGTCGATCTGATGTATGTAGTTTGTATCGTCACAAACTTACGCGTAGAAAATACAAGAATTACGTGAAAGTGACATAGTTTTAACGCTTGAATATTACACCCTAAAATTGATTCGAGGAAAACAAGAGCAATGGATTATTATATTCGCAGTCTTTGTAGATACGCCGGTCGAAGTGGGATTTTTTATTTTTACGAAGACGAGACCTTACACAGTATCGAGATGTATTACTGACATAGTAGGGCTCAGGGCTCAAGGGCTCAACTCAAAAGCTGCTCTAATAGAAATGAGTGCTCCTTCATTTGTTGAAGATGCAAACCAGGCTACACATACAAGTTATAACCGGTGCATCCCGTGATGGTGTCAGGAATTTTGGTCGAAGCCAATTCGAAGGTAGTGTTGACTCATGAATGCTACACTGGGGGGAAAAACACATTGGATCTAGAGTCCAGACTCTTGAAAACATCAACAAGAAAAAATACTCTTGAATCAATCGTATTTTTGCTTAAATCAAAAGGAAATCCGCTCAAATTAAGAGGCTTGGTTCTTGATTTAAGCAAAAATCCGATTGAATCAAGAGTATTTTTTCTTGTCGATGTTTTTAAGAGTCTGGACTCTAGATACAATGTGTTTTTTTTCCAGTGCGAAATATTACAACGATTAAAGTGCGCGCTATGCTGTGCGCGTAGCGAATGAAATATTCCTCCAGTCTCGTAGTTCCTAATGTGTGTTCGACGCGGACTTACCACCTACATTGCATTTGGCGCAATGCAAGAAGTATTCATGCAGTCTTGTAGGCGCTGATGCGTTTCGCGCCAACCGCAACATTTGGCGCAACGCGAGAAGTATCCCTACGGTCTTGCAGGCGTTGAAATGTGTCTTACGCCGGCCGCACTATGTTCGAGATTTTCCAGCGATAAAGGCACATATTTTCTCTCTGTAACTCTCATCACCGTGTGAGGACATCACACGACGTGCGATGTTTTTAAGAGTCTGGACTCTAGATCCAATGTGTTTTTTTCCCAGTGTAAGCCAAGGGGCACACGCTGTGTCTAATGCACTGTTTGCGGGATTTTGTACGATGAAAACTAATGTTTCTGTCTTTTTGTTTGTTGCAGATGTTCTGAAGGGCCCTATGATGGTTGCAGAGATTATGGCCCCGCGGCGGAGCGGCTCGCCGGTGAACGGTGAAACGCCGGGCTGCTTGCCGACCAACGGGCACGGGGCCATGCACTACCCCTCGGACGGGGGCCACCCGCCCGCTCCACCCTCCCTCCACTCCCTCTCGCCGAGGGGCCCCGACTCCCCCAACTCGGACTTCTCCTCCAACTACGGCATGATGCAGCACGGCAAGGAGCTCTTCTCCCAGCGGAAACAGCGCGAATTCATCCCGGACAACAAGAAGGACAACACCTACTGGGACCGACGGCGGCGCAACAACGAAGCCGCCAAGCGCTCCAGGGAGAAGCGGCGCTACCACGACATGGTCCTCGAGAAGCGCGTCGTCGACCTCACCAAAGAGAACATGCTCCTCAAAGCCCAGCTCACGGCCATCGAGGAGAAGTTCGGCATCACCGGGCTCAGCCTCGTCAACGTGGAGCAAGTCCTCGCCAACTGCCCGACCAACGACCAGGTCCTCAACAGCACGAAGCGGGTCAAGCTCACCCACCAACCCCTGCCCGGGCACGGGCACGGCGCCCTCTACAACGGCACCCCCTCGCCGATCCCGACCTCGGTCATCCAGCAGCCGACCCCGCCCTCGCCGCCGCAGTTCTACCCCCCGCAGGAGGAGTACCCCGAAGAGTACGCCCCCTTCCCGTTCACGCCGGTCCTGCCGCCCATCCACCCGCCGATGATCGAGTCGCCCAACAACGCCCTGAACCTCTCGCGGCCGCGCGGGCGGAGCAGACCCGCCTCCCCGTTCGACCCCGACGAGGCCCCCGCCTTCACGCCCAACAACGCCCTGCCGCACAAGCTCCGGCACAAGTCCCACCTCGGCGACAAGGACGTCGTCGCGACGGCCCTCCTCTCCTTGCAGAACATCAAGCAGGAGCCCGGAGCCCGCGCCTCCCCGCCCTGGGACGAGGGCAGCTCCGACGAGCGCGACTCCGGCATCTCCATCGACTCCGAGTGGGCGTCCACCACGAGCCTCGCCCCGCCCCACTCCCCGCCCCGAGGGGCCGAACCGCCCGCCTCCGGCCACGCCCCGCACCCTGGCCACGCCCCCCACCCCGTCGACGACCCCAACCACCTCAAGTCCCAAGTCGCCAGGCTTGCCTCCGAGGTCGCCACCCTCCAGAACATCCTCTACAAGAAAAGTGGTCTCAAATGAGCCTTTCCTCGGCTCCACGCTCTCGATGAGCTCTCTCCCATCATCTTGTCCAGGTGAACGTGTGAGTGACTTTTGTCCCGTTCCACCCTCGATCCTTGTAGAATCGAAAATGTTCCGATCGGTGGTGTCCGGCTGTTGTTCGATGAAAACGGGCCACGGGTTCGTCCACAACAGTGCCACTACATCAGTAAGATAGAACAGAGCATGCGAGCTATTGACCCCATTTCCAAATTTGCATTTCATTTGGATGCAGAAAGTGTCAAAAATTCTGCAGAGTTAGGCAGTAAGGGCGCATCTGCTCTTAAACGCGAAATAGCCTATGTAAAAATGTAGATGCGTCTTTATTGCTGCCCAATTCTCACTCCAGTTTCCGGTTGTAATGAAGCGGCGGAAATTTGTATAATATAAGTAACTCTGTTATGAACCGTAAGATAATTTCCAATATCAGCACGAGTATGATGCTCAGAGGTGTGTGTTCTGCATAAAAAGCACCCGAGCTGTTTACACTGTCTGTATCTCCGAGTTGCATTCAAGTACATTTGCAACAGACGGAGAAACCCGGATTTTAAGATTATTACTTGAAGTAAACACTTTTGCCTCTTTTCATTTTATAATTCCACCATCGTGTCTTAATTCGGGGATTAGTTCTTGAGAGAATTACATTTTCACTCCAGCGAAAATTTTGGGATAAGATTTACTTATGTGAAGTAATTTTACTGTCAAGCTCTGCCATATTTTCAAATTTTTCCAGTAAATGCTGTGAGAGCATACGTTACTGCAGGAATCGTAACCTGTGCTCATTTCTAAAGGTGCCTATCTTTAAAGTAATTTTTTTCTTGTACCATGCCGTGTTGGTTCGGTGTTGAATCGCCGAACTATTATGCATTTCCCATCAGTTTTCACCTACTATTTTCGCAGAACCTAATGAAAGCAATGACATTCCGAAAAGTCTTATTTCGTATAATATTTATGTACAATGTACGTCACCTCTGAGCCTCCACGAGCCATGCTGAATCTTGCACGAAATTTTAAGTACAATTTTGGTATTTTCCAGCGAAGCGTTGTTCAATCGCATTCTTGTAATATGCGAACAGTGATTCAAAAATTTGCCAATGAAAAGTCCTCGTTTTCAAAATGACATGTTTCACTGCTCTGGGAAGTCAGTTGCTCTAATGTTCTATCGCCCTGTTTAAATTGTATTATCAAGTCGGGAAGACACAACAGTCAATCTCTTTAGGTCTTTCTCCCGTTCTCATGTATATTTTGTCTCATGTTTGTGTATATTTAACTGTACAGTATTTATTTATATTTATTTTACCCCGTTGTACATATCATGATATTTAGATGTATCCATTATAATGATCAGTTTTCTCGCGTACGCCGGGAAATGTCCACGAATTGATGTATTTGGTAAAGTTGGGCATTTCCCGTCGCGCTCGGAAAGACGGAGCACTTCTTTGTTTGTTAGCCTTTCCTGTTGTGTTTCAATTCTTCGTTTTTGTATTTTCTATTTTATACCCTGCGTCGGTGTTTATACCCCGTTGTTTGGAGTAGCTTTTTAAAGCTAAACATGTTGAAGATCACGCGCGAGTTGGAAGCGAGTTTTCCTCGATAAACAGTTGTAGGTAAAAATATTTTTTCGGTGGCGTGGCGTGTTTTGCGATCCATCGATATTTCCCCATTTGAAGCTGAGGTAAATAATCGATTATTAAGGTTTTCGCTGCGAACACCCTATAGGTTTAAATGGTCGATCAATCGATATGTCGCAAAGTACGCCACGCCACTGTTGGAGACCCTAGTCGACGGTGATGTCCGTCTTGTTATGTTTCCATTCATTCTTCTTTCTCGATTATGTTTTTTTAGGATTTCATCCTAATGGAATGTTCCTTATTCGTTCCAAATTTTTTATAAGTACTTACTCTTTCAGACATTGCGTCACTTTAAGAACTATCCATTGCAGCAGTTATCGATTATTTAAATCGATAACTGCAAATATATCGATACCTTCTTGTGGTGAATGTTTAAAACAGTCCATTTTCTGCCTCATAAGGAGTTAATTAGCAATGAATTTTTAATGTGTCGTATTTTACGCACCACATTTTCGTATGGCAGTTGACCATTTTCCTACTAAAGATGATAATATTGAATTCTGGGTAAGGGCTGCAGTTTATTGTTGGATTCTTGAATCCCCCTTCCCCCTTAGAGAGTATAAATGCCTCCTAAGATATCATGATGACCGCAGAGTACCAGTACCGTATGGTAACACAAATGAGAAAATTATTATTTGCACAGGTAATTTATTGCTATTTATGATAAGACTTTCTTTTCAGTCCATGCAAGTTTATGTTAAGCCACGTTTAATTATAAATTTTTCTTTCTGTAAGAGAGCTTTTGCAATTTTTTTTTCAAAATTTTTTGAGCGTTTGTCTGAAGTTCTCAAAAATTATTTTGAAATCTCTTTCGGACCGAAAACATCACGAGAAAAAATTTGAGCCTCTGAAATTCTTCAGTTTCGTCTCGATACCCGCATATTTTCTTACGCAATATTCATGTTATCAAAAGATTCTTTGTGGATTGTGGAATCTAGATAAGTACAAAAGCTCTTTTACATGGTCGTGAAAGTGTCACTATGATAATTTTATTTGAATCATCGTTTTAATATCGTGTCAAGCGACCTAATTGTCCTTCCACCTCTATTCCATCACTATTCTGTATTGCTCCGGTACCTATGTACTTTCACCGGTACATTTTCCCCTTTTACAACAGTGTCTATTCTAAAATTCCTTCATATTTCAAAAAGCAAATAGCGTTGAAGTAAGTCTAGTCCTTCTAGTTTCTATGAAAAATGTCTACAGGATTGAAAAAAGAATAAACAGCGTAAGCGTTTAGTTTTTTACACAATTATGTTATCGTAAAATCAAGGTTTTTGCACTGATTGTATGAAAGGAATGGAAGGAAGTTAGAAAAAATGAACGAAGTACTGTTTTCAGTTATCTGGCAATAATCCCGCAAACGGTAACTGAATTAGCTCTGTAAGTTAATGCTGGAAACGACAATAATTTGAATTATTTTATAACATTTACTTTTATAACATCTCTTTAGCTTGATATTTACTGGCTTGGGGCATGCTATACCACCAAGAGCTCGTTGGAGTTTCAGCCTTATAATTTTCTCTGATACCAAAGCCTTTACCGAAAATTGTTCATCACAGATGCCTTTTGTTAAAAACACACACATTGCTTGAGAGCGCTCCTGGTGTTTTTTGTTTTGTTTCCTTTTTCGCGTTTTCTGGAGGTTTTTGTCTTCAAAAACAACGCATAGTCATTTCATTCCAGTGTATTTTGTATGTTCATCAACTGAATGGCTCTAGTTTGTTCTCTTGACAGCCTCCCCTCTTTGTAAGATTATTCAAATGCCTAGTTTGTAATTTGAGCCTTTCGTATGTCAATCCAGAGCTGTTCAAATAACACTTACGCAACACATGTTTACGTTTTGCTTAAGTGTCCCCTGAATAAATTGTAATTAAGTGTATTCAAGATGCAGCGATTCAATAAACATCGTCAACCAACTTTTTCATGAAGTTCATTAGATGGTTTGTCCCACGCGTGTCGTAAGAAAGAGGTTTTGGGGGATGAAAATCCATCCCCCAAAACCCCTTTCTTACAATGTTTATAGTTTCTTTCCAGGAAAAAAGTTCGCTTTAATATGTAATTTAAACGCTGAATCGGGTTCAAAACTATTGAATGGATTGTAGGGACATATAACGTGTTTACGATGACCTCTCAATCAATTTACCTTTTCTTTTGTCCACTTCACTTCTTTTTATGTATTTTATTTTTTTCCCCATAAAATTTATTCCCCTCTTTATTCTTGAAATCTGACTAGCCTCGATCATTTTCCCCCGAGGTTCTCTTTACTTACCCACACACCATCAAAATTGCAAAAATTCATGAAGCCGAAGTTCTTATTTTAATCTTACTCTGGAATAGAACTCTTAAATTGAACACAACCCGATAGGTGGTTTACTAGTTTTTTTCTTAGGCGATTTCTTAATATTGCAACCTCTCATTTCTCGCCTTTTCGATTCCCACCATAGCTAGTGGCATGAATGAGAGGAAAACGTTTGCCTCAGTTACTTATTTTTCGAGTTTCATGGAGAAAAAGAAGGATTAAATTTACAAATAAATCTAACGCTTGATGTGCATTTTTATAGTCACAAAAACGAATAAAATTGTCAACTTTCTTAGAGGCAGAAAGTTCTCTCTGCTCTAAAAAAGCTGTTAAAATAAATATTAATGGCGCACTTCAAAGGTTAAGTTTACGGAATTGTATGTTACTTATTTGTTATTGGTATTTCTGTTTGTGTACAGTTAAGTTCAACCAGTACTGTAAGATACCACTACGCTTCGGAACTTTCAGCGAACAATAAAGCTGACTTAAAACATTATTGTCTCCTCTTTTCCAAGTAAATTGTGTTGAATTTTGAAATCCTAGCTTTAGGCATGTACACTTTTAAAAAAGATTATGATTTTATATTATAAATTTAATAAAATTGTGATAGTACTTTACTTTAAACGGTCTGATAGTTCTCATTTCTTTTCAACCTTAATGGCCTGGCAGTAATCGCCACTTCCTCACTTTGATGTACAGTAGACTCTGGATTAGCCGGATTAATTGGTGCCGGGCCCGATCAGGATAAAAAAAAAATCCGGATAGTAATAGTAAACACCAAAACCACCAACCAACACCACAGTATTCTTATTATGTATACATCATGTACCTACCAACACAAATTTAAAAGGTTAACGCCAAATTGAACGACTCAATGGTGATTGTGAATGGTAGCCGACAGCGATAAATTACAATACAACGAGTAAAGCGCGCAATGCGTGAAGTATTCATACAGTCTTGTAGCCGCTAATGTGCGTTTTAGGCTAACTAACCGACTGCACTGCGTTTGGCGTAATGCGAGAAGTATTTATGCAATCTAGTAGGCGCTAATGCGTTCCGCACGCCGACCTCACTGTTTTGCGCAATGCGTGAAGTATTCCTCAAGCCTTGCAGGCACCAATATGCCTTGCGACCGCTTCTCCGCGGATCCGCTCACTTATCGGAATGCGTACGTAGTTACATGGTTGCAAAATCGATACGTATAGACCAGAGTCCGGATAATACGAAGCCGGATAATCCAGAGTCTACTGTAGATACATAATCTGAGTGATCAGACGACCATTTTCAAATCTGTTCTTTAAAGTGAAGAACATTGCTCACAGACTACACAATCGCACTCTCAGATTTTCATGAGCGCACAGATTAAGTGCAGTATCCATTTGCGTTGACTTAAAACAAAGGAACCAAGTCACATTCAAGGCATGACGGAGAAGTTTTCTTCTACCACAACACTCAGTATGTAACATGACCTTACAGGGTTCATACTTGAAATGGATACTAATTGATAATTTGATAAGGGAAATGGACTTTATATAACAGATTAAACAAAGTTATGACAGAGAAAAAGAAGTTGAAAGTCTTTCCCCATTCCACTAGGTGTAAAGAATGAACTTCGAGTTCATATTTGGAATACTTACAAAACATTATTTGTAGATTTTAATTTTTTGGCCTGAGCATTCAATGTATTTATTACGTTAAACATAGCTCAAAACTTATTTTTCTTTCAAAATGGAGCGGTATTCCTCCTCGTTAATTTCAGTCCATTTGTGCTATGCACACAAGCTACAAGTTACGTGTATGCTCTGTTGCTCTCTGAACAGAGAACTATTTGCGCTCTTCGGTATGTTTGTTGCCTATGCGCCAAATTGAAGGCAAACTTGGAATGGACGATATCTATCAATATAGGTTCACAGCACCTTGCACCAATCAAAGCGTGTGCAGCAATTTAAATGTTACGTTTTTCTAGGCATCTCATTCTATTTATTTGTTCTTACTGGTAGATTCGCTATTGGTTCAGTCAAAACATACGGTGCACGGTGGATCGAGTCAATGGGCCTGTTGCAAACTTTTGCTAGAGCAGATTGAAGAGTTGTTTCCTATAGATAATGCCTCAAAAATCACGATGAGCGCATCGGCAAAGTCTGAAATGCACTCATAAATTTACAATCTGCGTAAGAAATTTGCGTTATTTTGAGCTTCCCGCTTCAAAAACGATACTACTGCACAGGTGGACATTTTGTTAGAGGAGTCGCTCCATCGTCGGCAATATTCATCATGGCCGACGCTTGCGCAGTTCCTCACGTAATTCGAGGAGAGTTCAAGGTCAATTCAGGCGGGCGAGGAAAATATGAACGTAAACACGCCGATTGTTATGGTTTAATCCTGTTCAGGTGTTATCTCGTCCCATCACACGTGTTTTGGCGGACTGGCGTCGGCCATGATGAGTATTGTCGCCAATGGAACGACTCCTCTAACAAAATGTTCACCTGTACCGTAGTATCGTTTCCGAAGCGGGAAGCTCAAAAAACCGCAAATATCTTACGCAGATTGTGAAGTTATGAGTGCATTTCAGACTTTGCCGATGCGCTCATCGTGATTTTTGGGGCATTATCTGCAGGAAACAACTCGTAGTTTTGCTCTAGCAAAAGTTTGCAACAGGCCCATTAAAGAGGTCGGACATGAAATTATTGACTAAAACTGAAAATTTTTATGTTCCTTTCGTCACATCTTAAATTTTAAGGGGTGCTTTCAGAAGAAAATTTCACGAGGCAATCAATGGAACCACTTTCATAACCGCAAATTTTTGCACAAACGGAGTTACAAGCGTTTAAAGTTTCCAAATTTTGTCCGACCTCTCCTATTGACTCGATCCACCGTGCGGGGCGGCGGGTCATACCTATGTTTATTTAATACATTACTATTCTTGCTCCCCGGTATAATATCGATACTTATATTTAGATAATCTGAAGGCCGGTTAAACTAGCGTTTGGGAGTCGCAGAACGCCAGAGTGCGTTGTAGGAGCGTCTTCTATGTATCGAAAATAAGGGAAAATAAGACTTTCACTGCGTGAGACGCGTTAGTCAAGTACTCTCATATGATAAAAATCTCACAGTAGAAATGAAATGATTCAATTTTCTATTCATTCTTACATTTAGGTAAGTAGGATTCTCCTAAAAAAAATCTCCATACTTATCACTTACAAATAAATCAAACACATTTCATTTATAAATATCAGCGATTGATAAGATCCAAATGGCCCTTTTTTTTAAAGATTGTTGCCTTCCCGAAAATTAAGTGCTTCTTTTAAAATAATTTATGAGTTATTATGCATCGGATAAGTAGAACCTTAAGGCCCCATTCAAATGCAAGGATGAATATAGAAAATTCGAAAGATTTCAGTACTCTTGTGAGATCCATAAAAGAGTGCCTCGTCAATGCGTCTCACGTAGGAAAAATTTTGCGTCCTTCCATGTATTTGATGGACATCGTCCAATTAAAGTTCGCCAAAAGGTTTTTGAAAAAATTGCCTCATTTTTGTTGCCCATTCAAAAGTATTTACCAAGGCTTTCAAGGTGATAAGAGGGTTAGTCATTTTCTAAAAAAATCAAAACTCACTCATGCTTCTCGGCTCACGGGGGATCTGGAGGGCCCCTCGGCAAATTTGTGAAGTTTTAACTCTATTTGAAGGCATTTTGAGGCTGCTGGCTTCCGTGACGCAAATTTTCTTTTGATCTCTGCTCAGAAATTAAGTCACTGCAAATAAATTGCTTGCACGTTAATGAAAATAAACACAATGAAACTTCCGCAACTTTCCGCAAGTGTCACGCTTTGCGAGAAACTTTGGGAAACATTGCTAACTTTTGCCTCCAATTCAACAGATAGGCATACTTCCATGGGCCACTGCGACAAAAACTTGTCCTCAATGAAGGTTTTTTTCTCACCATCCAGAATTTTGGGGGGGGGGGGGCNCTATTTTCATTTCCGAGGGGGGCCCTCTTGCTAACCCCACGTTTTTTGCTCAACTCGTCGCTCATCAACCTTCATAGGGAGAAAAAAAAGCAAGCACACATACAGGTAGACAATTTAAGCCGATAAATTTTTTACGTCGACATTCTTGTTATCGACTAGAAAAAGTAGACATTTTGGCAGTAGACATACTGACTGGAGACCCTTCCGAATTCAACTTCTGACTCACTCGATTACACTGCCTCCATTCTTAGTGCAGAGTCCGTACATAGGCGTAGCTAGATCATTTTGCTAGGGGGGGCTTCCCCCGGAAATTTTTTGAAATTTTAACTCTACTTAAGCGCATCTCGAGGCACTTGTGGCGCTACTCTTCCTTCAATTTCTGCCTTCAAATCACCCAGTTTTTTGCATTTTAAAGTTAAAATACTTTAAAATCGTTGCATTCAACAGGTTTTTCTATGTATAGGCATCCTCTCACGGGCCACGGCGACAGAGACTTACCGTTGAAGAAGGTGTTTTTGCAACATCCAGAATTTCTGGGGGGGGGGGGGGGNGGGGGGGGGGGGCAGATGATACTATTTCCAATTCTCCCCTTCCTACGCCTCTGAGTCCGTAAAATATATTGTCTCTGTGTGGTATTCATGATTCACAGATGAAACTCACGGAGGAGCAACGGTGAAGGGAGGCGCGAGGAGCACTGAAGCTTTGAATAATAACGGATAGTGGAGAGACGCTAGGGAGGCGGTGGGGGGACCCGGGGTAAGGGGGGGGGGGAANGGGGGGGGGGTACGCGTAGGGCTGTCATTAATTTTCGAGAATTTGGAGCACGGTCGAGACCGGTGAGTAGCCGGCCCGGCCGTTACCGTTACCCCGCCGCGCGCCTCTCCGGGGGCCCCGGGGCTCGGGCCTAAACTAACGGGCCCAAATCGACTCTTACCCAATGCATCCTCCAAATTTCCCGACGCCATAAGATTGAGTCGAGGGCACTCGTGCTGAGCATTAAGCGTGTTACGGGTCTTCTTGTTTGTAGTAAAAGCTCGTAGAGAGGCAACCTCTCATGTCTGGGCAAGGACGAAAAGGAGAAGAATTTATGACTTGACAAGTCCTCGATGCATGAAATTACCAAATGTTATGATTTTAATCGAACATACCTACCAATGCATTTCGGCATCAGGTCACAACTTTAACCCTCTAAGGGCACTCGTGCTAAGCATTAAGCGTGTTGCGGGTCTTCTTGTTTGTAGTAAAAGCTCGTAAAGAGGCAACCTCTTATGTCTAGGCAAGGACGAAAAGGAGAAGAATTTATGACTTGACAAGATTAGCCTAGATTCATGAAACTACAACGTTTTATTTTAATCTAACGTACCAATGCATTTTGGCAAGCGCCATCATCAGGTTACAACTTAACCCTCTACGGCATGAATTAATTTTGGATCTTAGATTCTGAGGGACACGAATCCATTTCGTGGCTTGCATAAAAACCTATAGAGAACCAAAGTTTTCAGAATCGTTTATTCAAAAATAGAAAAAACCAATGAGAATTTGCAAAATCATGCCACAGGGGAAAGGTTCAATTTTTAAAAATCCAAAGAATACGTTGTTACGAATTTTTAACGCTATGCAATAGATGGGTTAAAAAAACACAGAAAATCAACAA